GACGGACCAGTATATTGCAATTCTGTACCCTTGGACCATTAAAGGATCCTTTATTCCTTGGTTTTTCTTATGGTTTGATCCTTGTTGGCATAGTAATGGAGACAGCTGATTGAGTCTCTCTGGGACCGATTCCTGAAGTGATCTGGTGGAAGAAAGCACAATGGGCTTGAATATAGATGTTTTCTTCTCTGACTAGAATTTATTTAAATAGAACCTCTACAAGTACTGTAGGGTTCCTTTTTCCACTCCCTTCAGGGACATCTTTATTCTTCATTTGCTGTTTGTGGTTTTTTTTATGTAGGTCTTTGAGTTTCAGCTCCAAATCCCTTCATCTTCTGTTTGTTTTGTTTTAATCCTGTCAGCTACGTATGTGACAGTGGTACTTTGCTCATTCATTTGGTCTGCTAATTTTTCCATCCTGCATCCATTTTTAAGATCTGTAACTACTGCTTGAATTCAGCCTTCATGGAGCTTAGCTCCAAAACAATTTCTTTGATGTCCGCTTTTGTGGATGGGCCATGCTTGTCTGTTTTTTTTTTTTTTTTTTTTTTTTCTTTTTTTTGGGTGGGCCATGCTTTTTTTTTTTTTTTTTTTTTTTTCTGCTGTCTGCTTGCTCAGAGCTAAATGCAGTATTGGAGATGGATATATCCTCCTGCCTCTTAGAAGAAGTGTGGTTTGGTTTTTGATGGTGGAAGACCATATTTTGTTTGATGTTTTAAGAAGCACTTCTTTCCTTATTTAGTGTTTTTGTTCTTGTTTTTGAGAACTTTGTGAAGACAGTCTATCAGTGGAGAAACATGGCTTTTGACTTACACTTGAATTACAATGGTTTCAGATTCTAAGACAAATACTATTTTGCTCTTATTTGTTCAATTTAATATATTTGTAAGCAATATAGCTGGAGAAGAGAAACCTGCTTTTTTTTAAAGTGCACTCAGACTCAAGCTAAAAGGTAAAGGCAGCCCCTTCAACTTCTGAACAATATTGATCCAGTTCCCTCCTTCCTTCCTTTTTTTCATTTCATACCCCTACTTTGTTACTGGTTGGGCTTTCAGTAGCCCCTGCTGTTCAGGAAGAGAAGAGGCAAAGGCAGCTGTCTGCAGCTTTTGCTGCTCAAAACAGTGAGCTACAGAATGGAGAAGACTCTAGCAGGAACTGTCCTACAAGTGCTTACTGGTTTCTGGGCGAGGGAACAACCCATACTCAAGAGCCCCTCAGTTCCCTCCTTTGCCCGTTCCTGGGAAAGAAGGTGTCAACAAGGATGGTAAAATTAAAAAAGGGTCCTTGGAAACACAATTTACACCGCTCAGACTGCTGAGCCCCACTATAGCTGGTTATCAACAATCTAGGTTAGCATTCTCTTGGGCCATCATGGTTAGAAAGATAGAAAACTACTATAACCTTCATGGATAACTTCCAAGGGGCAAAAAACAACACCACCTTTCTTGCTTCAAGAAGTCTGATTGAACCTAAAGTGGCTAATTATATGAATAAGATGTGCAGAATCTGGTCCTTTGTGAGGGATGTGGAATATGCCCAGTTGTCTTATATTCCAGATATCATCGCTGGATCTTTAATTCCAGCTTTGGGCTTTGAATGGCTTTGAAAAAGAACAGACTTTTAACTATTATTGCAGTTAATTCCAACACTAATTGTATAAACGGCCAAGTTATGTCACCTGCATCTCTGCTTATCTTGGAAAAGAGCCCCTCTCAGTATCCTGAGGGATTTTACAAAAAGGTTTATACATTAAAAAAATCTTTTATCCCAGTAAGCAATGGCAAAGAAAATCAGAGCACCTTTAAAGCTACTGAAATTTACAGTTTCCTTTGAAACTGGTTTATTAATGCAGATGTGGAACATTTGAAAAAAAGCCGAAGGATAGAAAAATATTATAAGGCCACAGTGGTGGCTTAAAAAGCTGTTGGGCTAACTTGTAAATCATACTGCAGTTTATATCTGTTCATTTCCATGTACTTTATTTTATTATAAAAAATTAGATAAGCAGCATGTTTTCAGCCTGAAATACAGTTTCTCAGGAAGATGGTTGCTGAAAAGATCCAAGTGCAAAGATATAAAATTCTGTTCAATCCTTGCAGCTTTGCTTATGTTACATCAGTGGCTCAGTAACTAGCACTGGAAACAGGGCATCCATTAGACTTTGCATGTCAAACTGTTATCTTGCAATGCTATACTATGGGAATGTGAGTGGTAGAACTGATATGTGATGGCAGGGCCGCCCAGAGGATTCAGGGGGCCTGGGGTCTTCGGCGGCGGGGGTCCTTCTGCTCTGGGTCTTCGGGGCACTTCGGCGGCGGGTCCTGGAGCGAGTGAAGGACCCGCCACTGAATTGCCGCCAAAAACTCTCGTGGGGGCCCCTGAAAACTCTCATGAGGGCCTCTGCGAGACATGGGGCAAATTGCTTCACTTGCCCCCCCCTCTAGGCGGCCCTGTGTGATGGCGGGTAAAGAGAGATATGTCCAGGGACAACAGTCAGGTGAGAGCTATTGTCCCACCCAGCAACTGAGAAGGAGGAGAATGCAGCAATTCCTAGACTAAATGCTGCCCCTGTTTTGGTGGCTCCATATTCCATATCAGCCTATGGCTAGTAGGTCTAATAATGAGATACCCTTTGATTTTCCCCAAACTTGCTCTGAGCCTCCTGGCACCTATGATTGTAGTATATGATGGGCACACTTCTGTTACTTTACCTGCCCTTCATTCTATTTTGCTGTAATGGATATATGTCTGCTACTCTGCCCATCTTCTGCCTTTGTGTTTTGCCCTTCTCGCTAGTGAATAGTTCAGCATGCCTCTCTTCTGTTGCTCATAACTCTCCCCAAGCAGCTGTAAGGCAGAGCTGATGTGATTCTTCTTAGTCTCACAGCACAGGGTTCTGAAGAGCAACAGAAAAAACCAACAATCTGGGACAGTCTTTGAATGAGCTGGAGTTTGGGACCATGCACCTCAATAGGAGACCAAAGGTGGCTTTGTCACCTTTCCCGTTAAACCCAAGATCCTGGGGGCAGCTGGTGGCTGGGTTTGGACACTTGCAATTTAGAACAAATGACTGCTCTAAGTTTTGCCTGCTTATGTTAATTGCTCTCAAGGAGGGCCATTGCACTGGTCGCATGCCCTTCTGCCCCCAGCATATCCTTGACATACCCCCTATGCTGGGGTACATTGAGGGGATGGCATAGAACTAGCTCTACACCCAACCAGGGTTCTTTCCCAACAAAGGAATAGGCCCTGGCCATATATTGTTAGTATCTAGTATTGTGGGCATCTACCACGTGGCTTAAACAGCCATTTCAAATAAGATAAAAACATTTGTTTGGTCAATGGTTTACATAATTTGTGGTTTCAGAGTAGCAGCCGTGTTAGTCTGTATTCGCAAAAAGAACAGGAGTACTTGTGGCACCTTAGAGACTAACAAATTTATTAGAGCATAAGCTTTCGTGGGCTACAACCCACTTCTTCGTGGGTTGTAGCCCACGAAAGCTTATGCTCTAATAAATTTGTTAGTCTCTAAGGTGCCACAAGTACTCCTGTTCTTTTTATAATTTGTGGTGTGATATCAAATGTAAAGTATATTTTAACTTCAGTGCCTCATCTTTATTGAGAGCAAACGTGGAAGTCCCTTTTTCTTAAGTTGTTGTTGCTGTTGTTACAGTAGAACCCGGTTTATCTGATCCTCCATTATCTGGTTTTCTGTGTTAACTGGACAACACATGGACACACGACCAGAAGGGGGAGATATCTCCTGTGGCCACTAGATGGCGGGACAGCACTGTACTTTCCCATTCTCTGCTTTATCCATTTTTTTGATTATCTGATCTGGCCCGGGTCCCAATTAGACGGGATAAACAGGGTTCTGCTGTATTTCTTTGAATTATTGTACCACCTAGGAGTCCTAGTTCTGGACTAGGACCCTATTGTGCTAGGCACTGTACAAACACAGGATTTGAACGAGAACAAAGAAATGACTTTGGGAATGTTTACAGGGAACTCGTCCCAAGTGTGAGGGGAAAGCATGGGAGAAAGCATGATGGTGTTTGTTTGAGAATTTTAAACAGTGGGCGATGGAGTCAAGAGTCGACCCCTCAGTACTGAAGGTTCATCACTTAATGAGATCTAGTGAAATGACTATGAATTCCTTTCCCTACATATTAAAAAGTGTTATGGATAAAACATAAAGCACCCGATTTTCAGAGCACTCAGCTCTCAACACTTCAGTGAGAGTTCTGGGTGATCTTTGCCTATGAAAATAGGCCTTAAATCTTGTGTGTTTTGACCTTAAAATATTGGTTGTTTCTTTATATTTGGATGAAAATCTGCTGTATGCTAACAGAAGCTATACAATGTACTTACTGTTGTTCCGATCTAGATACACAGGCCATTGTGGGTTCTTGGGTATTTAGTAATTCTGAAAATATGGCCATTAATATGGCTTTAGGAGCTTAACTTCAGACACCCTTTAAAAAATAATTTGGTCACATGCTCTACATTTCCACCTTTTAGGACTTGATTCAGCAAGGTATGTAAGCATGTGCCTAACTTCAAGCACATTAATGGTTCTATTGAAAGCAAGTATATGCTAAAGTACCTTCCTAGATTGGGGGCCTTAATGTAAATTTATAGTCTTAAAAAATCTCAATGTCTTTTCAGTAAGTGTTCAAAGTTGTTATATATTATTAACTATGTTTTGCATTAAGGTAACCTCGTGACCAAACCCTGTGTTTTGAGCATGTCATTTACTGGTACGTTACAAATACATTGTTTAGTCTATTATGTAACTTTGCTTTAAGGTCCAAGATATGCTTCACAAAATGTTCTTTAATTACAGGACTACCCACAACTCACTGCACTTTTGTTCACTTGTAATCTTTATAGCAGTTTTAGACACAAGTAACATGTAGTTTGAGACTATGTAGCTGAAAATGTTTATTTTTATCTTAAAATGACATTAAATCTTTGTAATGCCTTTTTTTTTTAAATAGGAGGAAAGGACAGACGAAGTGGCCTCATTCTGACAATTCCATTATGCCTTGAACAGACAAACATGGATGAGCTGAGTGTTACCCTAGACTATCTGCTAAGCATTCCAAGGTGACTAAGTGACTCTAAAGGTGTTTCTTAAAAGCACTAAATATTTTTATCTTCCAGTACAAAACATATTTTACATAGTAATCAGGAATAGTCAATTATTTTTTGTCAACGTCCACATTTCTTGGTCAACATATAGTCAAGCGCCAGACTCCAGAGAAACATTTTTCACACTTCAATAACATTAATGACGACGATAAAAAGATTTTGTGGTCCGTTCAAGTGTGTGGTGGTCTGGATTTGGCCCGTGGTCTCCCTTTTGACTAGCCCTGGATTATACTATAATGTGATCTCATTTGATTTCATTATAACAACTTAAAACACAAATAACATAGTAAATTAAAAGATATGTGGTAGTTTCTTTTAATTATCCTGCTTGTTTTTTTCTGTCTGATGTATTTCACCATTGCATTGTTAGAATACGTGCAGTAACTTTTCTTTCTGATAATTGTGGTGTAAACTAACTAGCGACTATACTTTAACTGCAACATTAAAAAAGGCTAGTCATTGGAATTGGTGGGACTTTTCAGGCAGAAAATAGGTTTTTGTTTGTTTGTTTGTTTTTTGTTTTTTGCAAGCGTTCTATTCATACAGGCCCAGATTCACTGAAGCACTTAAATTGTGCTTAATTTTAAGCATGTATGAAGTCTCATTGAAGTGAGTGGGATTACTTACATGCTTAAAGTTAAAAAAATGCTATAATTGTTTTGCTGAATTTGGGCCAGAGTTCAATGGATTCTATCCATTAACTATGGGTTTGATAGTAAAATTATTAACTTCTGTGGGAGATTTGCTTGTGGAAAAACTGCAGGTTCAGATCTATATTTATTTGGCCAGATATTAATTTATTTGGTTGGATCTGGTGATGGGGGGGCAGAAATTATCCAACAGAACTGGCAAGTCATCCTCAAATCTTAGTTTTATCATTTTGTTTGATTTTTTCCCCTCCACAACTGAATGCTCATGTTTCCAACATGGTTAAAGGACCAACTATAACAGAGCGAGAGAAAGAGATGTTAGCATAATTAAATAAAAATGCTTTATGCCTTTTTTTTTTTTTTTTTTTTGCTAATGGGAGTATCAGATCTTTTCAAATATATAGACTAATGATCTGGCCCCAAAGTCAAGACCAAAGAGAAGAAAAATGAATATTACTAAAAGAAACCTGAGACACTCAGGTCACTCCTGTAAAGCTTGATTGAATAATTTACTTGTACTCCTTAATTAGTTACATGCTTGTTAATTGTACATTTGTGTTTTGTTTAAAAAAAAAAAGAGAGTTGGAACTTTTACAAAAATATGGGTGAAAATTGTGCTAACCTTATTCATGGAAGTAGTCTAATTGACTTCAGGGTTTGGTTCTGTTTGTTGAATAAATGTAGACATAAGTATTCTACCAAAATTAGTTGTTTTACTATCTAGCTGTGATATATATTGCACTTATTTTGCTTAAAGCTATCTGAAAATTCACAATAAGCATTGCTCGTACCATGTGTAAACTGTGAAACACCTATGAAAATAAAGTTTGACATTCCCACCATTGGTGTTGACAGTCATGCAGAATAATAATATGGGAGACCATCCTGATTTACTGTTGGTTTAATAGTAGAAAGAATTTATTTTTAAAAAAAGTGTTTTGCTTAAATATTAAAGATTCTTTGTGCTCTACTGGAAGGCTTTAAAAAGCTTGTGAGTTAGCATTTTGTCCCCAAACCAGGCTTGTGCGTTTCCAACAAATATCAAGCCTAATTCTTTAAAGCTTTACATGAGTGGTCTTATCTGTGAGAGTAGTCCTGTTGACTTGTATGGGAGTTCCATCAGTGGATGGTTTGCAGAACTGGACCTGAAGTTATACATTGTTTAACATAGACTGGCTCAAAATTATGCCTCACTAACTTCAGTAGCTGGTGGTGTAACTCCAATTTTTTCTTTTATTAATGTGAAATGGTTTGTGGCAGGCCAGACTTTCATAGTGTTGAAGTTAAATTTCTTTGATTTGTACAACATCCATGAAATACTGCTGTGGATTTTTAAAACAAATTCTTAGCTATTGAGTAGAGGTGTCTTTGTTATGATATATGATATGATTTAAAATATAATTTTTTTTTAAAGTGCAAGAAAAGATAAATGCAGAAATATTTCATGTCCTTCAATGCCCTGTCAATGGAGTTTGCAGGCTTCACTGTTCTAATGCACAAATCAGTTTTACCAATTTCTTTTAAAGCTTAAATGCATTGTGTTTAAACATTTTATTTAACCTTTCAGAATTGGATAATTTGTTGTTTTTTGTGGGTTAATAGGTGATGGAATATACAAATGCTGTTGTTTGTTTCCATTGACCTTAAGAAAACAATATTTCAAAGGAATATGATCATGACACTATTTGTGTTTGCTGTATTCAAGGTTGGGTTGTGTCAGCTCCTATATAAATCTTCTAGTTATAACTTGGCTTTCAGAACTTGCTCTGGCTGTGACATTGCAAACAGTCAACCTAATTTTCAGTGGGGTCCCTGGAAAATCTTATGCATGTCTTCAGGAGGTGCCATTTAAATATAAATAAAGTAAAATCCAGGTACACAATGGCAGCCATGTTGGAAATTAGTTTATTCATAAACTAAAAATTGACTAATTGTTTTTGTTCTAAAAAGAAAGTGAAATATGCTTATGAATATTTTTCTACCACTCCAATTGACCCCTCCACCCCCGCTGATTAGTTGGTTCTTATCCATAATGTAGGCTAAAGTTCTGATCCTGAAAATGCTTACTACCTAGCATACTGCTTGCTACTATGAGTAACTGTATTGGAAATCAATGGGATTATTGTAGTAGTAGGCGTGCTCCATATGTAAATTTTCAGGAGCTAAACATTTTTTTTATTAAAAAATAAATTAAAATTGGCAAGGGTACTATATGTTGATTTTTAAAAAAAACATAGTATATGCACACCATTTTTCTTTAAGTACACTTGTCAGCTCATTATAAGTGATAGTAAATCCATCTCAGTCCCATAATGGTGCAATTATAGTAAACTAAAACTGTATACATGTAGTAATATTGTATGTATTTGAACAATGACTAGAATGTCTTACTAAACAATTTCTAGTCAGAGCTGGCACTAGTGTGCATCGTTAGTTAATGCTATCCAATGTTCTCAGTTGCTTATCACTCGCTGAACTTTTAACTGTTGAGACTGAAACTTCCCATGCTGAGTCATTTCACCGAGAAGCTCTAGAGCAGTGGTTCCCAAACTTTAACAACCCGTGAACCCCTTTCACGAAAATACCAAATCTCAGGAACCCTCTCCTAAAAATGAAAGTTTCCAGGGATTTTCTCCCTTACCTGAGCATAAATTATAGAAGCAGTGATCTTGGAAATAATGTGTTTTTTTTAATGACACATTTATTACACGCTATTTATTATTACATTATTATTTCTCATTACATTATTAATTTTATTACATTATGAAAACGGCAACATTCTTTCAAGATTTCACTTTTGTAGCTCGTATCACGTTAATTAAGCCTGTTATGTTTCATCAAGGAGCATGAAGGTATTTAAGAAGCCAACTTAAATGAAGAGTTCCTCCCACAAGCATTCGGGTCTTGAGCAATCCAGGTGAACAACGCACGACTATAACAAAGCTTAAACTTGTTCTTCATAATAATTTTAAAAACAACAGTAGCAATCTGTTTAATTTTAGAAACAGCAAAAAATCTCCTCCTCCCTTTCCATTTCTCATAAGGAGTCTTGAAGTTTAAATCTCCTCAGTGTGATGGATGTGCTTGCTTTGATCTGCATAGCTCTTGGAAGTCCGGAACCTCTGGAGAAAGATAGTCTCAGATCTGGTTCGGCATTGAGTCTGCTTCTGTATTTGGTTTTCAGATGTGCATACGAGGAAAATGCTTTCTCGCACAAGTATGTTGTTGAAAACGGTAACAAAATGATAGTAGCTTTTTCTGCCAGCAGGGGGTACCCGTTTCTTAAACTCAGCCAAAAGTTGATCAATGACAGACTTCTGAAACTCCTTTTCAGTTCGTAATCACAGGAGATCTCAATCAATTTCTCTTTTTCCTCAGTGCTCAATATCTTTGTTGAGAGAGTGGTATCATCAAAGGGGTTGCGAATCCAGTCATTATTGCCTGACATAGCTGGAAAGTATTCCCTGAACATTGTGCAAAGTCCTTTTAGGTGTGCATTTATATTGGTTTTAATGCACTGATTCAACCAAAGCTTATGTTCTGTTAGGAAGTCATGAAGAGTACTGAAACACTCAATTTGATTGTTTTCCAAACACCTTTCTCAGAACTGCGACTTCTTTATCATGGATTCAGCTTGGTCTTGCATGTTGAAAACTGTTAGTGAGGCCTTGAAGAGCTAAGTTTAGGTCATTAATCCTCAAGAAAATGTCTGCTAAATAAGCTAGGCTCTGGAGCCAGACATGATTTTCCATACAGCTGGTGAGGTGGAAAGGGTGGCTGTTGAAAAAAACAAGGATTTCCATTCTAAGCTCAAGCAAGTGCACAAGGATTTTGCGACGTGAGAGCCATCTAACTTCGGTATGGGGCAACAAAAAATTGTGTACACTACCCATTTCTTCACAAAGTACGTGAAATATTCTGGAATTTGTCATGATTTTATGAAATTCACCATTTTCACTGCATTGTCCAGCACTTCCTTCAGACCCTCAGGCTTGTGTTTTGCTGCGAGAGCTTGTCTATGGATACTGCAATGAGTCCAAGAGACGTTTGATGCAACCTTTTTTGTTTGAGCTATGAATCCAGTGTACTTCCCTGTCATTGATGTGGCCCCATCAGTGCAAATGCCTAGGCAATGAGACCAAACTATTTCCTTTTCCTGAAAATGTGCATTAGTCAGATTGAAGATATCTTTTCCAGTTGTATGTTCTTTCCATGGTCAGCAAAAAAACAAGTCTTCTTCAACCATACCTTCATTCACATAACGTACAAACACTAGCAAAATAGATAGATTAGCAACATCAGTTGATTCATCCAACTGTATAGCATAATATGGACTATTTTTCACTCTATGTACAATTGTGGTCTCTACATTACTTGACGTCATTAATTTTTTGCGGCAACGTATTATTGGACAAAGGGGGGAGGGATAGCTCAGTGGTTTGAGCATTGGCCTGCTAAGCCCAGGGTTGTGAGTTCAATCCTTGAGGGGGGCCATTTAGGGATCTGGGGCAAAAATCTGTCTGGGGATTGGTCCTGCTTTGAGCAGGGGGGTGGACTAGATGACCTCCTGAGGTCCCTTCCAACCCTGATATTCTATGATTCTATGAAAGGTACTACGTCAATCCTTTTTGCAGCCTTTTCTCTGAGCATGCAATGAACTACGTCTTTTATACATGGACCAATCAAGCTCTGTGCTATGGTATGGGCCTCTGATGCTTTTGCTACTCGATAGCTCACTCGGTATGACACTTCAAGTGTATTTTTGTTATCAGTACTTGCTTTGGATACAAAACTGGTAATGTCACTTTTCCACTTGGCTAATTTTCACTTGAAAAAATCAACAGGCTTGTCGAGTTGTGTGGGGTGTCTAGTTTCTAAGTGGTGCTGAAGTAGAGAAGGTTTGAGGCTGCTGTTTGCTAGAACGTCACCACAAATTATGCACTCTGGTTTTGTACACTCTCTTTCTCACCAATGCTGTAAAGCCATATTTTATATAATCATTGTCATATTTTCTTTTCTTCATAAGCGACTTTCCAGGACCATCATGATCATTTGACTTAGATTTTCCATACTTTGGACTTGATGAAACACTAGCTGATGTCGAACGTTCGTTTTTTCGTGTCTTTACACTTTCCGTTTTCAGCCACGTGTCCAACAGTTCAAATAAAAATAACACACTGAGAACGCTAACAAACGAACAAACTAGTAAATGAGAAGATTCACTCAAGTCTCATTGAAGCAAAATCGCACACTACCGAGAATGACTGAGTATGGAGTAACTGAGGGTCGTTACCGCCACATTGGCTACAATGACCTTGGTTCCAGCTGATTTCAGGGCTGCCTGGGGGGGGAGGCAAGTGGGGCAATTTGCCCCGGGCCTTTCAGGGGCCCCCACGAGAGTTTTCGGCGAGTCTTCGGCGGCAGGTCCTTCAGTGCCGCCGAACACACCCGGAGCGAATGAAGGACCCGCTGCCGAAGACCCGGAGCTCCTTCCGCTCCGGGTCTTTGGCGGCAGGGGCTCCTTCCGCTCCGGGTCTTTGGCGGCAGGGGCTGCTTCCGCTCCGGGTCTTCGGCAGCAATTTGGCGGCGGGTGTCCTTCACTCGCTCTGGGACCTGCCGCTGAAGTGCCCCAAAGACCCGGAGCAAAAGGACCCCCGCCACCGAAGACCCCAAGCCCCCTGAATCCTCTGGGCGGCCCTGGCTGATTTGGTGCGCAAACACTTTTTCTTCCGGCAGCAGGGGGGTGCGGGGCCAGGGAAAAATTAGCCTGGATGGTCCCCCAGATACAGCATGGCTCCCCCTCCCACTCTGCCCCTCATGCCGCGGAACTTCCCCTGTCTGCCAGGGACAGGGTCCCAGCTGCCGCCTGCGCACCCAGGGTCCCAGCTGATGGCCCCGCGCTCCACGGGGCTCGGGCTGCCCGCCCCACACGCCAGGGTCCCGGCTGCTTCCCCCCATGCCTGGGGTCCCTAGGGATGGCTCCGTCTGCCATTACAGAATTTTTTCTGAGAACCCCCTGATACATTTCACAAACCCCCAAGGGTTTGCAAACTCCAGTTTGGGGATCACTGCTCTAGAGCCTTCATGTTTAAAGCAGGGACTTACCCTGAGTCCACCAAAATTTGTCCAAGTTATAAGCTTCTGAAAATTGCCATATGCATGTGCTCAGTGAAGGTTTGTTAGACACCAGCAGCTAAATTCTCTGAATGTTCCATCTGGACAAGCATGCCCTAGCCCGAGCCATAGGCGCTGAGCAGGACTCTTTGTGTTGCTAGAAGCTGTGGTGCCTGGCACTGGAATTGGGAGCATGGAGAGAGATTTTCTGTATTTTGTATGTTTCCCTTGCTGACACCTAGGCAAGAAGGAGGATACAGACACCGGGCACAGACAACCTTAATGCTGGCATTTCCTAACCTTTGAGCACTTGACTTTGTAACCTTAAATGTTCTTTCAACATTTTTTATATGAATATATACTTCTTTGAAAATTATATATTTTGTACTTAAAGTTGTTAAGTTAAAAAGGTAGTAAATAAATACTGTCAATTTGAACTACATTTTCCCCTTTTATATCTCCTTGCAAAGTCTGTATTCTTCTAGCTGGCTTTTTGTATGTTGTACTAAGGGCCCTGATTCAGAAGAACACTTAAGTGCATGTTTGAAATTAAGCATTAGCCTAAATGTTCTCCTGAATTGTGACCTAGATCAAGTGATTTAGGAACAGGACATGGAAGTTGTATTCACTTCACTGCAACAGACTTCCTGGGTGACCTTAGGAAAATTAACCTCTCTATGCCTCTGTTACCCATCTATAAAATACTGTACTACCTCACAGGGATTTTGTGATATTTATTTGTGTAATGTTTATAAGGCACTTTATAATCATTGATAAGAGGAATTGCAATATAAACACAAAATATAATAAATATTTGATACATTTTCTGGAATATTAATGCTGTTTAAAAAATTGCTAGTATGGTACAATAATAAACAAGTATGCCTGAGCAATACAAGTGTGAACATACTTCAATTTTTAAGGGAAGATTTGTAGTAAGTAAAATTGCAAAATTCCATAGCAGTGTCCTACTTTTAAAATGGTTGTGATGAAAGTCAGTAATAGCCAAGCTAATCACTGTGATATCTGACATTTTGTTCTCGAGTTTTACTGTTTTCTAAAAGTATTTCTTTTTTGTCTTAGTGAAAAGTGTAAAGCTAGAGGATTTACTGTGATAGTCGATGGCAGAAAATCTCAATGGAATGTGGTAAAGACGGTTGTGTTAATGCTCCAGGTAAATCAATTTTTATGTATTCACAGTCAGCAGATTAGTTTTATAGATGGAAGTCAAAATGCTGCGTTACTGAAACAGCTGAAATTTCTTTATTGGGAAACAGTCAATTCGTAATTTAATTACACAATATATGCTGTGTTGCACAGAATTTTGTAAGTAGAAGCAATTAATCTGAAAAGGGGTTTATATACTTCTATAGAGAGTTATTCAAGTTTTGATCTGAGCAGCCTTCTGTTCAGCTCTAGATAAAACTTCTACAAGTGTATTACCATGTTAAAGGTGAATAGTTTACAACGTCCGGGCCCTATGAATCATTGATGCTCCTCGATTCTTTGATGTGTCTCAGTGACTTTCATAATCTATAGCTAATCAGGAGGCTGTGGCCTTCCCTCTTTAATATAGGCATAGCAGTGGTTTTCCAGCCTTTGTCATTTCCCATAGAGACTGCTGGTTGGGCACTCTGATTATGTTTGTTTATGAAGCTTATCCAGGAGCTCCAGCTAGTACAGAATACAGGTATGTCGCTGTGTTGAAGTCTTTGCATTGGCTTCCTGATACAATTCTAGATTTTGATAGCTTTTATTTCTTTGAATGTTCTGTATCCAAACCCTTTGAGAGATTGCTTCTCATTCCATGCCCTATCATATCATTTAAGATCAGCTTCTTGCCATTGCCTGGAATTAGAGACTCCTCCATAGGCAGTAAAACTTTCTCAGTTGAAGGTCTCCATATGTGGAGTTTGCTTCCTTGCGAGCTCCTTCAAAACCTTAGTCTAGCAAGCTCAGAGCAGCATAGACTTAGTTTTTATTTGGTTTAATTTTTATCTGATTTTCCTGTTTTATATTTTATTCCTGGGGGGGAATGAAAGTGGCTTTTAATTGCAGCAATTTTTATTTTTAAAATGTTTGCTGTTAATAAGCACCTAGCTGCTACTGTGATTGGCAGTCTAAAATCTGTATTATTAAAGTGCCATAAAAGTTAATCTCCAGAAACAGAAGTGAAAATCTCCTTGCTTTGTAACAACATAGTTAAATATACAAGAAGTACAAGTGCCTTTCCTTTTTGTGTTTCTCTGATCATTCTAAAAAAAGAAAATGGTAGTGCCAGCTACAGAAATGTAATGGTATTATGTGGGAAAAGACTAAATGCATTTGCCTCTAATTTTGATTTCTAAAAATAAGAGAGAGGATGTGGAATGCAGGATCATTCTTAAGAGTAAGTACTCAGAAAGCAAGGAAGCACAAAACTTTTCACTTTTTAAATAAGGGGTAGAGGGGAAGATCTTAGCTGAATAAGCACAATAACTATAATCTTGCAGTTTCAATTTGTAATGAATCTGGCATAGACAAATAATTTGAATTAATACATTAAATTGAAACTGAAAGAATAGACTTTTAGGGCCACATTTTCAAAAGCATCCTCTATATTTGCCTGCCCTGCATTGCACATGTAAGTTTATAGGTGTTCGCATTTGGGCATTTTGAAATTTGTACTTTATTTGTGCACTCAGAAAGGGAAACTAGGAGTTTATTCAATTATAACATGGACATTTGAATGTTTAGGGTTCCCAGAATGCCTTGTCTTGTTTTGCTTCCTGACTACAACCAATCTGTGGGCTTCTTTCCAGCTTCCATAGTGAGCATTAGTGCTACTTCTTACTGTATCAAGGGACCAAGCTTTTCGTGTCCACTGAAGTTAGAGGTCTCTCTGTGGCAGTGATGTTTTTTTATAAATATTTTTACAAATTTGAGAGGTTCAAATTCTATTTGCAAAAATAAAACTTCTCTCGGGTGGATTTAAAAATATACCTAATAGAAGTGGGAGGTGCTGCTTTATAGATCCATCACTTACATCAATAGGCTGCTAATTCTTCTCTACTTGGCTGACTGATTACTTATCCTTTGTCAGCTTTTTGTCAGTGTTAGTTTCCCATCTTTTGATTTTTCAGGAAGAGCAACTCTTTCCTTTTCGTCTTATGAGTAACTTTAAGAGCTACTGACTGACTTAATGAGATTTGACATTTGGACCCCCCCAACCTTTTCTTTTTTGTCATGTGACTGTTGCCTCTTTCCTTAAGTCTGTATCAGTGCTCTTCAACAGGATGTACATCACATGTTCTAGAATAATAATGATGTTTAGAAGCACTTGATTTCGGGCTTCTGTCTGTATATGTAATGTGTCTCATTGTTTCTGTTATGAAGAGTAATATTTCACATACGTTTTCTTGCCCCTGCAAGTAATCATATCTCAAATTATCATTTAGAAAATCGAAATCACTTATTTATGCTGATCACTTCTCATATTTCTCTGGTTGGACAAAGAAAATCAATTAAGTCACTTAACTTTTTTAGTGAGGCAGTGTTTGGGTTGAAAACGCTGTAGGAGAATGTGTGTTTAAAAACAACTGTTTCTGTGAGAGTGGAGAGAAACCCATGAAGACAAGCTGTTTTTTTTTTTTTTTTCCTTCCCCTATTAGATTTAGGTTTTGCAAAACCTTGTTTTTTAAATCTAAATTTTGGGTCAGTTTTTAATTAATTGTCCCTTATTAATTGTTTTTCACCTTAAAACAAGATAATTTAGAATCAGTTTTACTCACAGCGCTTTTCAGTACTCAGTACTGTATTCATATATCTTTGTCCTAGTATTACACTTGATGACATCACAGAAGAGTAATGTGTAGAGCTGCCTGTATTGTGATGTGAGGACAATATATAAATAGGCAAAATATATTTGAACTCAGGTTTTGTAAGGAAAATATTGATTTGTCAACTTAATGCATAATTAAAAATACTTAATCAATTTAATGATATAGATCGTTTCTATTCTGGAAACAGTAAACATTATAGTTACATTATAATAGCAGATCCATTGATCTTAAATCCTGATTTAATAGTAAAATATATATTTCTCATCTAGCTTAACTTGTTTCTTTATTGTGGTGACCTAGCTTTAGAGTTCTGACTTCAAATATAGTATCAATTAGCTTGTATAAAGTTTGCAATTTAATTTCTTTTCCATAGTATATTCTCTAGATAATATGCAAACAGGCTATAGAATGAAAGTCTCATATCAGCCTTAACTATAGTTTTGTTACCACAATATTGTAAGTAATATTCATTTAGGTAAATAGGGTTGTTGTTTTTTTGTTTTGTTTTCCGTTACTGATGGAGGGTGGCTAGTGGTTAGAATACACTTTTGGGAATCAGGAGACCTGATTCTATCCCCAGCTCTGTTATGACTCACTGTGTGAATTAGTGCAAATCACTTAATCTCTGTATAATTTCTCTCTGTAGAATTAGTAAACAGCCACCTATGTCACCTGGATGTTGTAAGACTTGTTTAATTCATATTTGTAGAGAGTATTAAGATCATGGATAAAAGGTGCTGTCTAAATGCCAGTTGATTTTGCCATGCATGAGAATTTAATCTTGAATGTTTTATCTGTTTCATTTGTTTTGCAGAATGTTGTTCCAGCTGAGGTGTCGCTTGTTTGTGTAGTAAAACCTGATGAATTTTGGGACAAGAAGGTTACACATTTTTGTTTTTGGAAAGAGAAAGATAGACTTGGCTTTGAGGTATGTATAGTAATTTTTTTTCCTATCAGGAATGTTGACTCTAAGCATGCTAGAATGATACATACCTGATTGAAATGGATATTTCTTAAAGAATGCTTATCAGTATTCCAGATTGCTTTGTAGATACCTCTGAAAAACTACTGTGACCTATTGCTTTAAAAATATTCTTTAGCTGCAAAAAGAATTTAGGCAGACTATTAAATGAAGTTTTGGAAATGGAGCTTTGCTGCTTTTATGGTGGTTTGACTATGATGATAAAACTGTTTCATACCACTTTCCGTGCTTTTAGCTACAAAAATTGTTGTATAATGCTGTAGTATATATTCTGTACGTGGCTCCACCACTGTGGGCTGTTTGGATGCTCCTCTTCTGCTATCACTCAGGCACGAGCAAACATTTTGAAGGTACAGTCCTTGGTCTTGCTAAATTCATCTCCTCCTTATACCTCTTAATTTTTGGTATTAGTTGCCAAGGTTATAGGCACCCTATGTTTTTCTAAGATTGATTATGTTCTGACTTGCATGAAACAGTGTGTGTGTATATATATATAAGGGATTGCAAACAAGAATAGTTGCATCCTTTCATCTTTGACAAGGGTAGTGGAGTCGAGGGAAAAATAAGACTGCATTATGACAAGTAGTGTTCTGAATGTGGAATGACTAGGGTGGCCAGACAGCAAATGTGAAAAATCGGGATAGGGGTGGGGGGGGGGGAGTAATAGGAGTCTATATAAGAAAAAGACCCAAAAATCAGGACTGTCCCTATAAAATCGGGACATCTGGTCACCCTAGGATTGACCCTTCATTGTGAACGAGTCTTGTCCAAACTGAAATTTGGTCTCCTGTGCACATAAGTAGATATAATGTCCAGTCATCCATTGTTCTTCACAGGTAAATCAAAGTGACTTGAGGGGGGACCTCCTTCCCTTGAAAAAGGATCAGAAGGAAAACACTCTCCCTTTCTCCATGATGATAGACAAATGTTTCTTCCTGTTGCCGGGATTATAACATGTTCTCAGTTTCCAAATATTCCTATAGAAAATATGAGGGAGAGTGGGGATGGGAAGGTAGCAGCCCAAAGATAGATACAATGTTGTCTTCTGTGACTGGGGATAAATAACTGTCTACTTAATAATATGTAAAATGTAAGATGTCCCTAAAGATTTCACCAATAAGAAGAAAGAGAGCACTCTAAATATTTCATATGGAATTTAGGGAAGTTCAGGAAGCATTTGAAGTTATAGTGTAAAGAAAGTTTCTTCCCATGTTATCCTGTAAACCATTCCTCTTTTTGTTCTTTTTCATCCTTATTAGTTGTAAACGTTACAGGCTCAGTGGTTTGAAATTAATCTCATATACACTTCTTTTCTACATCCCTTTCCTAAAGACTCTTCTTGTGACTTCGCTAGAATATCTTTCTAGACAAATAAGCAGAATACCTTAAGTAAAAATCTGATATGCTAATAAGGCAAAGTTAACGTTAAACAGTAATATGGCGGGGTAGGGAAGAAGGGAGGATTTTATTTGATCTCAAGGGTTTGTTCAATATCAGTCATTAAGTTATAGTTACGTGTAATCAAATACATTAAGGAGAACCATTTAATGAAGAATGTTCTACCTTTGTAGTGCTGGTGTAGGTCATTTGTACTGCTGAAATTAAACCTCTGTCTTTTAAAATACAGTAAATACATGTGAGTAGTGAGTTATTTTGAGGGTGAAAGCACAGAAAAAGTCCAAGCGCTGAAATGCCAACGTTCTGTTTTTTTCTGGTCAAGAGGAAAGCTTTTCCAACAAATCTTTCCTAATGACTCTTGTACTGTGGCTTGATGGGTATGCACTCCAGGATATAGAGGTCAGATGTAAGTGAATAGAGACATGGTATACTGCTATCTTAAAAAATCCAATTTGAATGAAATATCTAAATTCAACATACTGTTATCAGCTATTAAGGCCTGTTTTGTAAAATATTTTCAGATTTGGTATCTTTTTTTTTTTTTTTTTTTTTTAAATTTGAATAAAAAAAATCAAGGAAAAGAGAGCACAGTGGGCACCTTCACTCTTCTTCTCCCCTCCCCCCCATCAAAGGTGTGAGAGAACTTATGAAACCTTCACTTATTTGGCAGGAGATTGCCTTTGGCCTGATGGCTCCAGTTTTGCCATTTTGTGGCATTGTCTGACTTGAGCTCTGTTATGCTCCCCTGCTTCATGTTCTTTGTCTGTTTCTCTGTGCAGTAAAACACAGAGTAGGCAATGGGGAGAGTGAAACATGGGAGAAGAGGAGCAATTGGTGAGAGTAGCCTGTAGCTGTCAGTGATCAACTTATTTCAACATCTCCACTCATTCATACTTTAGAGAATTAGCTACTTGGTTACAGTTAGAAAAGCTGACTTACTAACAGCTGGCTCAACAGATCTTGTCTTTTTGTGTATCCTAATTTTTATCTGTTTTAGAGATTGATGGTATGTCTTAATCTCTTTGTTTTACTCCTTTTAGCACTGCAGAGCAGTGATATGGCTGTGGAAGAGTGTGTTCTAATCTGATTCATGAATAGAATCGTTAACTAATTTGTAATAGCATAATTTTTATTACTTGTGGTGAAAAACACAGTTTGACTTTCAGATCTTGGATTGAATTTGCAGCACTAGCAGTTAACAGAGAGAGGTTTTTCCTAACTGAGCATATTTGATCTGGAAGTCACTGAGACAATAAACATGAAACCTCATGCTGCCATTTTTCCAGTCACTTTTCACAGTATAATCTCACTTTAACTACAGTGATTGCTATAATAAATCACTGACTCAAGAAAAAATGGCACTGGAAGCACATGACAGCCCAGGCATCCTTCTAGTATTCAGCATATTTGAGACTTAAAATGTTTTAAAAGTCGCCAACACAGTTACCTGAGGTGTCTGGCATGGAGAGAGTTTCCCATAGGTATATTCTGGCTAATAACATTCATAAGATATAATTGTGTTTGCATATTATCAACCACTCTGCGTTTACCTTTTATGTATTGTGAAAGACACACGGTTGTATGATATGCATGTATTGTGTATAGTCATGCAACACATGTTCTGCAAAGAGATATTTGTGAGTCCCAGGTCACTTATTAGTCCATTTGGTTCTTACTGAAACATGTTCTATTATGTTCAAAAACTCATGGAAGATGTGTGAGGTCCCAGGAACTGGAGAAGGGCCAACATAATGCCTATCTTTAAAATGTGGGGAAAGGAGGACTCATGAAATTATAGACCACTTCAGCCTAACTTTGATACATGGAAAAGATACTGGAACAAAATATTAAACAATCAGTTTGTAAGCACCTAGAGGATAATAGGGTGATATTAATCGCCAGTATGGATTTGTGAAGAATCAAATAAACCTAACATCCTTCTTTGACACAGTTCCTGGCCTAGTGGGTGTGGGAGGGGGGAGCAGTAGACATGATCTATCTTGATTTTTAGTAAAGCTTTTGACATAGTCCCACATGACATTCTCATAAGCAAACTAAGGAAATGTGATCTAGATGAAATTACTACAAAATGGATTCACAGCTAGTTGAAAAACCGCATTCAGAGAAGTTATCAATGGTTTGCTGTATCTAGTAGGGTACTGCAGGGTTCTATCCTTAGTCCAGTACTATACAATTATTTTCATTAATGACTTGGATAATGGAGTGGAGAGTTTGCAGATGACACCAAGCTGGGAGGAGTTGCAAGCAATTAGGAGCACAAAATGAGAATTCAAAATTACCTTGACAAATTGGAGAACTGGTCTGAAATCAATAAGATGAAATTAAATAAAGATAAGTGCAAAGTACTACACTTAGGAAGGAAAAATCAAATGTACATCTACAAAATGGTGAATAAATGGCTAGGAGATGGTACTGCTGAAAAGGATCTGGGGGTTGGTTAGGTGGCTCACAAGTGAAATATAAGAACAATGTGGTACAGTTGTGTGAGAGGCTAGAAGTGTCATAGGTTCATAGATTTACTCCTGGGGGAATTCAGCGCCAAAAAATTTAAAATTCTGCACACAATATTTTAAAATTCTGCATATTTTATTTGTCAAAACAACAGAATATAATCACGTCAGTTTCAATTATTTTGGTAATTTATTTCAAAATACCTGTCAGCAACTATACCTGTAATAATACAGACCAAAAAAAAAAAAAAGATTCAGGAAATGTTTTTTGACAAATATATTCCTTAGTAGGCATATTAATACAGAACACTGAGTAATAAGTCATAATTCATTTAAACTACAATACAGAAACATATTTCCCCGCATTCCTCAGGCAAAGGCTTGGGCGAGTCAGGGATAACGGAGGAGCTGAGGGAGAGGGAAGTAATTGCTGGGAAGGAGCCTGGGTATGAACTTGGAGGATTGTTGGTGTGGGTGGAGAAGTATGGAACAGGTTGTTTTGGAGCAGGGAGGGATTGTTAGAGAGCCTCCACCATGTAGACCCTGGCTGACCCCTAGCCTCTCTCATTCAGTCAGGCACATCTGTCCCTATCCCCGTGTGTCCCTGCACCCTCTGTCCCCATGTGTCCCTGCACCCTCACTCCCATTCAGCTGCTGCCCCAGTCTGTCCTCTCCACTAGCCCTTCTGAGCCTCAGACTAATCCCACTGGAAAACCTGAACATACCTTAAACCCAGAATCACTGAATTTCTTGATGTTTGCAATTTGCATGCAGCTCAAAACTGCCCTCAGACTGTTTTCTCTGCATATGGCATCCATTTAAAAAAAATCTTCTTTGACGTTGATTCCGATATAAGGCTGTCAGATTAGCTTTTTGAAAATCAGCAATCAGTGTGAAGAGAGGAGAAATGACCCATTTGCTCTTTTATCCTTGTGGAAGTTTTGGAGCAAGTTTTAAAAGACTTTCCAAATTTAGGATTGGGACGATAGGTAATCAAAAGCTAGGAAGTAAAAGCAGCAAAAATTTAACTATCTGGAAATCGTTGAGAGATCAATGCTTAGCGTAGTCAATAAAAGA